TCCTCGCCGTACTGAGCGCGCCCGCCGTGTGTACTGAGTAGTCTCGGTGTACTGAGCGCCCGCCGTAGCATTGAGCGCCCGCCGTGTGTACTGAGCAGTCCTCGCGTACTGAGACCTCGCTGTGGTGTGACTGAGCTACTACTGTGTGCACTGAGCAGTCCGCCGTGTGCATTGAGCGCTCGCCGTGGGTGTGAATTGAGCGCCCCGCCGTGTGTACTGAGCGCCCCGCCGTGTGTACTGAGCAGTCCTCGTGTGTACTGAGCGCCGCCGTGTGTACTGAGCAGTCCTCGCCGTGTGTACTGAGCGCCGTGTGTACTGGAGTAGTCCCCGCCGTGTGCATTGAGCGCCTCAACAGGCAGGCCTGGAGCGCCGCCGCAGTACTTGAGCGCCCCGCCGTGTGTACTGAGCAGTCCTCGCTCGTGGTGTAATGAGCAGTCCTCGCCGTGTGTACTGGGAGCGCCGCCGTGTGCATTGAGCGCCCCGCTGTGTGTACTCGAGCAGTCCTCGCCGTGTACTGAGCGCCCCCGCCGTGTGCATTGAGCGCCCCGCCGTGGTGTACTGAGCAGTCCTCGCCGGTGTGCTCGGAGCAGTCCTCGCCGTGTACTGAGCGCCTCTCGCTGTGTGTACTGAGCACCTTCACCGTGTGTATTGAGCATCTCACCATGTGTACTGAGCAGTCCCCTCGCCTATGTGCCCTGGAGCAGTCCTTGCCGTGTGCCCTGAGCACCTCGGGCTGTGTGTACTGAGCAGTCCTTGCCATGTGTACTGAGCACCTTGCCGTGTGTACTGAGCTGCCTCACCGTGTGCTGAGAGTGTCCTCACCCATGTGCACTGAGCAGTCTCCTATATGTGCATTGAGGCCTTGCCGTGTGTACCGGAGCGGCCTCACCTGCAGGTACTCGAGCACCTCACCGTGTGTATTGAGACCCCACCGTGTGTACTGAGCACCCGCCATGTGTGTACTGGAGCGCCTTTGCCGTGGTGCTCCTGAGCAGTCCCGCGTGTGCACTGGAGCACTCCGCCGTGCTCCTGAGCAGTCCTCACCGCCTGCGCTTGCGCACCCGCGTGTGCCCTGAGCGCCGCCGTGGTGTAATCGAGCAGTCTCCGCCGTGTGCACTGAGCACTCACTGTGTGCCCTGAGCAGTCCTCACCGCGGTGCACTGAGCACTTCACCGTGCACTGAGCACCTCGCCGTGCACTGAGCAGTCCTCACCGGTGCACTGAGCACTCTCACCGTGTGCACTGAGCACCTCACCGTGTACTGAGTGCCTCCGCCGTGTGTACTGAGCAGTCCTCGCCGCAGGTACTGAGCACTGTGTACTGAGCGCCGCCGTGTACTGGAGTAGTCTCCGCTCGTGTGCATTGAGCGCCGCTGTGGTGTGTACTGAGCGCCGCGTGTGTACTGAGCGCTCGCCGTGTGCATTGAGCGCCGCCGTGTGTACTGAGCAGTTCCGCTCGTGGTACTGAGCAGTCCTCGCCGTGTGTACTGAGCGCCCCGCTGCAGGGCATTGAGCGCCCTCGCGTGTGTACTGAGTGTCACGTGTACTGAGCAGTCCTCACGCGTGTACTGAGCAGTCCTCGCTGCATTGAGCGCCCCGCCGTGTGTACTCTGAGCGCCGCCGTGTACTGACCGCCCGGCTGTGTGCATTGAGCGCCTCGCTGCAGGTACTGAGCAGTCCTCGCGCCGTACTGAGCAGTCCTCGCCGTGTGTACTGAGCGCCTCGCCGTGTGCATTGAGCGCCGCCGGTGTACTGAGACCTCTGGCCGTGGTGTACTGAGCACCTCACCGTGTGTATTGAGCATCTCACCATGTGTACTGAGCAGTCCTCGCCATGTGCCCTGAGCAGCCCCGCAGGTTGCAGCCCTGAGCACCTCGCTGTGTGTACTGAGCAGTCCTCGCCGGCGTGTACTGAGCACCTTGCCGTGTGTACTGAGCGCTCACCGGTGCTGAGCAGTCCTCACCATGTGCACTGAGCAGTCCTTGCCATGTGCATTGAGGCTTGCCGTGTGTACTGAGTTGCCTCACCGTACTGAGCACCTCACCGTGTGCAGGGCTGAGCTGCCTCACCGTGTGTACTGAGCACCCGCCATGTGTACTGAGCACCTTGCCGTGTGCTCCTGAGCAGTCCTCGGGCCGGTGGTGCACTGCAGCACTCCGCCATGTGCATCGAGCGCCTCGCCGTGTGCCCTGAGCAGTCCTCACCGTCTGCGCTGAGCACCTCGCCGTGTGCCCTGAGCGCCTCGCCGTGTGCACTGAGCAGTCCTCGCCGTGTGCACTGAGCACCTCACCGTGTGCCCTGAGCAGTCCTCACCGTGTGCACTGAGCACCTCGCCGTGTGCACTGAGCAGTCCTCACCGTGTGCCCTGAGCAGTCCTCACCGTGTGCACTGAGCACCTCGCCGTGTGCACTGAGCACCTCGCCGTTTGCCCTGAGCAGTCCTCACCGTGTGCACTGAGCACCTCACCGTGTGCACTGAGCAGTCCTCACCGTGTGCACTGAGCACCTCACCGTGTGCACTGAGCACCTCGCCGTGTGCACTGAGCATCTCGCCGTGTGCACTGAGCACCTCACCATTTGCCCTGAGCAGTCCTCACCGTGTGCCCTGAGCATCTCGCCGTGTGCCCTGAGCAGTCCTCATCCACGGGGCTGCTGGCCCTGGAACCCTGGTTTGCATCTGGTCAATGGGGAAAGGGGATGCAGGACACTCTCATCACAGGCACCCCAGGGACACCCTCAGGGCTGCGCTGGAAGGCGCGATGGACAGGCTGTTGCCAGGCAACCACTGGGGCAGCAGTGGCCCTGCGGGAGCTCTCCAGAGTCAACCCCAGTCCTCCTCATCAGACCGCAGGCTTGGCTCTGTCAGCCTCCTGCTCCCCACTCCTGGCATCAGCCACATCAGTCCCAATCCAGGGAAAAGGATGCCACATGCCACATGCCAGCAGCTCTCCCTGAGAGAAGACTTGATGCCAAGAGTGGAGCTGTGCGGAGTGCAAAGTTCCATGCAAACATCACCTTTTAAAATTTTGACTGAGAATCCCCACTTTACAGAGCAGTAAGTTCAGTCCTAGAAAGTTCCGACAGTAACAAAACGTCTACAGACAGCTCGAGGCAGTTCTCAGTGCATCCACTCATCAGCCCTGTTTAAGTTCCACCATGAAACTTGCAAGTCGACACCATTGTTATCACTAATTTGCAGATGAGGAAGCGGAAACACAGAGAGGTTAAGTAACTTGCCCAAGGTCACACAGTAAGTGACAGGTGCAGACAAGGCTGGTGGCAGTGTCTGAGCCCTTCCCCATTGCCTCTCACTAGTAGCTAACCCGGATGCTGCAGCCCTATGTGTCAGAAACGAGTCCTGTGCTTTGTAATATATGTTAACTCATAACAGCAACCCCGGGAGACAGGGGCCAGTTGGCCAGGATAGGACAAAAGGAGCAGAAGCATCAGAGGGCATCTGGTCAAGGTGACTGGTAAGTTTCTGTCTATCCAGACACTGGGAACGATGCAAATGCACATGAGCTGGTGAATGGGAAAACGTCGTCGTGTGTCTGTGCAGTGGAACACACTCAACAGTAAAAGGAACATATTTCCGATACACGCAACACAACAGATGGCTGCTCAGTGAGGTCAGACACACGAACGCACACTGGTCCCACCCACGTGACCTTCTGGAAAAGCCAGCCCTCAGGGAGGGAATGGAGATCAGCAGTGCCAGGGGCTGGTGTGGAGTGGGGGCTGACAGGGAGCGGCCCAGGCGAGACTTTGGTCAATGGAAAGACTGCATCGTGATCGTGGTAGTGGCTGCACAACTGTGTGTGTTGATCAGAACACAGCTGTCTACCTTAAAGGTGAACTTTACTCTCTGTAAATCATACCTCAATAAACCTGAGGTCAAAAAGAGCCCATTTCGCCCTAAGACACTGTTGGTCTACAGAAGGTTGAGGTCCCAGGCCCAGGACCCGGCGTCACCAAGAGCAGCCGGGGAAGGGCTCTGTGAGCCAGTCCAGAACCTCGCCCCAGGCTCTGGTTTGACCATTCTCAGCTGCTCCATGGGTCTCCCAAAGCCTTTGCATTTGTTCATCAGTTATCTGTTAACATGCTTTATAGACTCCTGGTCAGCAAAACTGCAAACGGTAAGACCTTTTCCCACTTCAAACTCAAACGCTGCAGTGGGTCAGAGCACGCGTATGGGTCAATAACAGACACACATGGACATCAGCTGGCCTTTCTGGAGAGGACAGAGATTGATGGACGTGCAGACTTCCCACAGGATCCTCATTCACATTCTCATCGCCTCCTCCGTATGGATTAGCGGGGGTTCAGTGGCATGAGAAAATGGTAGAAGGAGAAATGTATCCCCATTAGGGACCTGCTCCTGTTTAAGGAGGCAAAGTCTGTCTGTTTCAGTCATTCTCTGCTGAATTCAGAATTAACTCTATCTTCCAACTGCGTGACTCCACAGCATTAGCCATTTACACTCTGCTTCCCGCCCAGTTGCAAGGCAGAACCTGCATTCCAGAGAACTCCTGGCGATGAAATATTGTAATTCTTGTGCTCTGCCGCACTCTCAGAAAGGTAAATGCAACTCCTCCCCCAAATACAAGTTTCCGTTCAATTTTCCACATCAGACATTTGAAAAGAAAGACAGACACAAGGAAACGACCACATGCATCTAGTTAGAGGGCACAGCTAATAAAGAGAGGCTGGAATTGCTGACAGACGCCCTCCTCTCAGCCCCAGGCTGCAGCGGGTGCCCTGCCAGCCTCTGGCTCAGGCATCGCCGAGTCCCATTGTTGCTACTTTCACCGTGACAGCAGGGCTGCTCGGGAGCACCGATTTTACAGTAGGTGCTTTCCTTATATTACGTCATTTCATCCCGAAAGCGATCCTTTAAGATAGATGACACCCTCCTCATTTTTACACAGAGGGAAACTGAATTTGGAGGAGATTATAAAACTTAATTCTAAATGAGGCATTCATAAATGACATAGACAGAATGTAACTTAACTAAATAACAGCATTTATCCTGCACTGCAGGGCACCCCATGGTTAATGCTTCACATGTGTTATAATATTCAACCTTCACAACCACCCAACCAGCTATGGTATGTGGCAGAGGTGGCTGCCTGTTCACCAAAGCCGTGGGCTCTTTCTTCCAGGCAGCAGAGCTGGTCCTAATGTTGCTGCCCATCAGGAACGGCATCTCCCACCCACTTTGTTCCCGGAATGGCTGCGGGCCTAAGTTTTGCCAGTGGAAAATGAGAAGTGATGTGCGTAAATTCAAGGCAGGGGCTTTAAGAAACAGGCAGGGCTTCTCCACACTGTCTCTCTTGAGGCCTCCAGGCCCCTGGGTGCGGCAGAGCCACTGGATGGAAGCCTCTGTCCTCAGGTCTCCATGTGAGAGAAGACCATTCACGAACCAGGGACACTTGTGGGGACTCCTGGGGAGCAAAACACGGGTTTATGAAATTCAAGGGCTTTTGTAGCAGCTAATTTTGCATAACAAATCTAACATTATTGTTTCCATTTCACACACAACAAAACTGAAGTTCAAAGACGTGAGTTCCACAGGAGTACAAGGCACCCCAAGTCATTCAGAGGTCTGCCCTTCTTCCAAGCCCCCTCTCTCTCTGCCCTGCGACCTGCTTGGTGAAGGGCGAGGTCTCCAATTTTTTCCCCCATTCTAGAACCCTAAAGTAAGGGAGGAACCCTCCATTCAGAAGGAATTGTGCTTCCATTATACCCAGTGACTGGCGGGACCCACAGATTGAATAAAATGACCATTGATGGTGGGATCAATGGCACTGCATGAATGTCCCCACATGGCAGGAACGGACTCTCCCCAGCCCTGCAGCCACAAAAATGAGCTGAGGCAAGAAGAACACCAATGCAACCTGGGCTTCCCTGAAGTTCCCCAAATCTAAAATCAGTCGGGTAGCTGGAACCTGACTCACTCTTGGAAGACTCCTTTTATCATCCAAAACAGTATTCATATATTTCTATCTGACCACAGAATTTTGTACTCAGAAAGTCAGTCAAACCAACATAATCTGACTATTATCAGCATGTCCTGTTTACAAGAGCTCAGACAAGGAGGAGGCCCCAAGCCACAGGCAGCAGTGCTGGGGTCATTGTGAAACCAGAGTCTAGAATTGCACCTGGCATGTCATGGGCTTTCAGTGAGTGAGTGTTACAGGAGTTGTTGTTTGTAACTGAGGAGTTACGTGGTGTTGCCAATGATTTTATCACTAAATAAGAGCATTAAAAAATTGTATCCACCATCATAATTGTTTCATGAAAAAGCACATGTTATACTGAAAAAAAACTAGGAAGGTATAATCTGTAAATATCCCTGAAATGCCTGCCTTTGCTTTTCTGAGAAACACATACGTTGGCCGTGTCTTCTACTACACACCAAAGAGCCATCGACGGTGGTCCTGCCGTGCCGCTAGTGTCTGCAACACTCTATGGTGATGGGAAGAGTCCGTCGGACATCAGTTTGGGTCCTGGTTTTGCCTGTCATTAGCCAGTGACACCCTGGAGCTCCAGTTCCTTCGTTTGCAAAATGGGTCCTCAGAGACACCCACCTGGCCCCTCTCACCGTGGGTTGTGGTTGGCACTGTCGGGGCACGATGCAGCGGAACTTGCTGTGGCCCTGGTGTTAGGTCTCAAGAGAAATCTTAGGGGCCAAGAGGTTCTCTCAGCTCCTGACGGTAGGGCGGTGGGAAGCAGAGGAGACCTGCTTCGCATGGAGAACTTGTTTTCCCGCTTATGCCTCATCCCCTCCCCTTCCCCAGACAGCAGCCAGCGTGTTCCTGATACGGCAGACAACGCCATGTGCAACATATCGTCTCCTCGTCTGGACACGTGACTCACAGTGATGTGTGTACTCCCTCACAGTGAGCCTGGCCATGTGACGCTCTCCCCAGCGCACCTCACACGGAAGCAATGCGCTACTTCTAGTCTGAGGCACAGAGAGTGCTCCCGGACCCACCTCTCTTCTCTGGCTGCAGTTATTCTGAGGCCTCTGATTCCGGCCTCAGGCAGTCTAGATTCCTGCACTGGCTGGGAGGAGGCCCATCCAGAGGGCCTCTTATCAGACTGTGACATGTGAGCAAAAAACAGACTGTTTTACTAAGCCACAGAGACAGTACCAATGACTCTGAATAAGACGCCTAATAAAACAAAAGTCAAATCAAGTCATCCCCCGTCCATCTCCCTGGGGTAAAAGCCAAAGTCCTTAAAATACCCGAGAGCCCTGTATGACCAGCCTCCCAACACTTTCTGCCTTCACCTGTCACTGCTGGCTCTCACTTCCCTGTGGCAGCACTGCTTCCCCACACGCACCAGCACGTTCTGCCTCAGGACCTTTGCACCTGCTGCACATCCTGCCCTCGGTGATGAGCCCAGCTAACTCACCCACCTTTGTAAGGTCTTCATTCAAATGTTAGCTTCCAGTAAAGCCCCTGTTGGCCACACTCCTTATCCTCTTTCCTTGTTTAAAATGTCCCTTAATACTTTTCACCATCTAATATATAGTTTACTTAGAGATTTTTATCTTATGTCTTCCTCTAATAAAATGTCTCCATGAGGGCAAGTAAGTGGGAGTGAGTATGTGAGTGTGCGTGTGTGTGTGTTGTTCACTCCTATATTCTTAGTGCCTAGAACAGTCTCTGGGGCATAAAAGAGGTTCAGTCATCATTTGTTGAATAAATAACCTAGGATACATGAACAAATGTTACAGAGGAGATGGAAAATACGAAGGAAAACAGGAAACTCTTACAAAAGAGGCCGTGCTTGAGCTGACCCTGTGACCCGGTGAAGGCCCAGCAGAGCACGTGGCATTCTGGGTGCAGAAGAGGCACCAGGTGGTGACACTCCAGGGGACAGGATGTGAGGCTGGCATGAGGTTTCCACCAAAGCCAATGAGGAATCGTGACGATGGCTGCGATCAAGACACAACTCGAGCAATATCGGTCAGCGCTAGGCACGCTCCAGGGTCCCCGCGTTCTGTCAGCAACCAGTAAGGATGATCTTACCCTACAAGACAGGGGTACGAGGACTGAGAAGCCGCCTCCCAGAGGCATAACTGGGAGAGGGTTTCACAGCCGGTGGAGGACAGGCTGGACTCCGAGAGCCGCTCCAGCTCTAGGCCTGGGGCCTGGGCATTGCTAAGCCGCACAGTCTGAGGCCTGAGGCCTTCCAGGATGTCTGAATGGTGGGTCTCAGGTGTTCCACCCGCCTCATGTGCTCTGGAATCTCCAGGCAAAGCATCGATGAGGTTGTCAGCAATCAGGGGGAAAACCCACATCCACAGTCATCGTCCTGTGGGGTCGTGTTCGGGCCCTTAATTGTGTGATTTTCGAGTCTTGTCTGTGTTAAATTGCTTCCGTATTCTTGTTCCCCTGTTATGATGCCACGCCACATTTCAGGATGCCAGCGTCAAATCTGCAGTATTTACCTTGCCACAAGGACTAGAGTGGATTTTCTTTTTCCTTTGTTTTCTTTTCTTTCTTTCTTTTTCAACTGACTTTGCCGACTTTTGAACTCAGGGAAGAGAAAGCAGGAATAAGGAGAGGAGTAACCACTGCTTTGAGTACCTGCTGTGATTTGCACACGGAGCCAACTTCATATTGGAACGTCTGGCTCCGCAGACCCTGCCAGCTGGAAGGGAGCTGCAAAATGCATGATGATATTCCCTAGTTAAGCCCAAACCTTCCCAGCCATGGGGCATCTGGGCCCTACAGTCTCCCTCCAGGGCCTGGGGCTCCTGAGCATCTCAGATACGTGGGACCTGCTGTGCCTGGCGCTGCCCACAGCAAGGTTCTCACTGAGCTCTGCGTCTGGGTGTGCAGGAGTGACGCGTGCTGCAACAGCTTCAGAAATGCCTGTGCCAGGCCACAGTCCCACAGTGGGTGCAAGGCCCAGTGAGGTCTAGGTCCAGGGTCTCTCCACTCCTGCCAGATTTCTTCCAACAGCCCTCACCATGTCATCTGCAGGACTTAAACCCAAATGTCACCAGCTCCCCAGAAACAGAGCCACCTTCCACCAACTGTTGTTGGTGAATGACCACAGAACCATATTTCTGAGAAATGTTGATGGAGGAGAAGTGGAAACTAGCTTCGTGTGTCTGGGAAGCTGCTGCTAAAAGCAGCTCAGATCCCTGAACCTGCAGAGATCACCTGGGCAGCGAGCCCCCCAGCACCTCCGCCCACAGCCAGAGCCAGAGCCAGCCCCAGTCAGTGTCTGCCCAGCTCAGGGTGAGGCCCAGGGAGGAAGACCTGGCCACAGTGTCACCTGCAGCCTGGCCCTGGCATCTCCCCCTGTGCCAGGCAATCCCTGCCTTCCCACTGTACCCTAAGCATGAGCTCTCTGGCCCCTGAACCTGGGGGTCCTTCTCTCACTATGTCCCCATGCCCTGGCCCCAGTGTGAACGGGCCACACTTCACCCCTTTGAAAGCTTGCAGAAAGCCACTGAGCCACAGGCCGCCTGGGTGCAGGCAGCTCCGCCATCCCTCAGTGCTGCCGCACAGCCTCCACAGCCTAAGGATCTCAGCTCTCACAGGGCCCCAGGCAGTTCTGCATGCCCCCAGCAGCCCTGCCACCTTGGCCACATAGGCCAGGCACCCAGGCACTGAGCCAGGAGCACGCAGAGTTACCTGGGTTGATAACACTGCCCAGGGACACTTTCCCAAGGCAGGTCAGGGAGGCCCTGCTGGGCTTGCTGCACACGGCTTGCAGGTGTCTCCAGCTTGGCCTCAGGGTGGCCCAGGTCACCTCCCTGGACCCAGGATCTAGGAGGCTTGAGCCCTTTGGCTGCCATTGCCCACGCACAGCAGGCAGCTGCCAGGCTGCTCACTGGGCACCCCCACTGAGTCAGCCTGGTGTACTCGCAGCTATTTTGTAAAACGCAAACCTTCCTGTTACCACCATCACCCTACTGTGCAGTAGGACCTCAGCATTTACAGGGGATTTCTGTGTCTTAACGTGGAATAAGGCTGCTAGGTGAAGAAGAGATGGGGAGCTCCTGGCAGAGGCAGGAAGAAGTGAAGCACCAGGCCTGACATTTCATAGGAGAAATGTGGGGGTTCTGGAGGACCCTGTGAGTAATCGGCAATTACTCCTGGTCTAGGTAGACAACAGGCACATTCTGGAGATGTAAACTTGGTCACAGAGCAGCCAAAGGTGCAGGTGTGGCCTGGGCAGGAGAGCAGCACCTGCACCTAGCGAGGGCCCCGGTACCAAGGACACCTGGGTGCACACCCCAACCACCAAGAATCCAGCGGGGTGGCAAGGGCTGGTGGGCATGACCTACAAAGCGGCTGGGTCCTGGATACAGGCTGGGTGTCCCCACGCTGTCTGTGCCCCTTGCTGTGCTGAGGTGAGCCAGTGAAGGGCTTGAGGCAGCCCGGGCCTTTGTTCTTGCGTGTGTTTCCTCAGCTGCCGACAGAGCTGCTATAAAAGTCTAAGGATGCTTCGAAACCTCATACCCCAGGGTATCCTGCCTTTTTCTCTGGGGAGGCAGGAGGGAGAGAAAAGGTTCCTCATGGCTGGAAGGGGGGCTGGACAGTAGAGGTGGGGGAAGGGGAGAAGCCCTTTTCCCTCCCAACTTGAGTCCTGAATAAATATATTGGCTTGAGATCTTCGCAACATGGTGTTTAAAGACCCTAAAAATTCCAATAAAATGTAGCTTTCCCTAGAGAGGGAGCCTGCCAGAGGCCGCTGGCCT